CGTGCTGCCCTGCGCACGCCCTGCTCTGCCCCGCGTCGCGCGCCCCTGCAGCCCGTCGCGTCGCGCGCCCCTGCAGCCTGTCACGTCACACGCGACTGCTGCCCGTCGCGCCGTGCGCCCTGGAGTCAGTCGCGTCGCCTGTCGGCCCTACCCGTGCCCGTCGCGTCGCTAGAGTAGGCTTCCCCAGCCCGTCGCGACGCTTGTCCGCCCTGCCTGCTTGCGCCCCGCCCCTACCTGCCCCGCGTCGCACCACCCCGTGCACGCCACCCGCGGGCAGACCCTTGCAGCCCGCGCGCGGCCCGTCTGCAGCCCGCGAGCCTCCCCCACAGCCCCCGAACCACCCCTGTAGCCAGCGCGCCTGTCTCTTGCAGCCCGCGCACTGTCCTTGCAGCCCGCGAGCCACCCCTGCAGCCCGTGAGCAGCCTCTGCAGCGCACAACGTGCCCTGCAAAACCCTGAAGAAGAAGAAAAAAAAAAGAGCCCTAGGTGCTGCTGCCCTAGGAGCTACTGCCTCCTGCTACCTGCTACTGCCCGCCTACCGCGCGCCGCCCTGCTCTGGCCGCGCGCTGCCCTGCTTTGGCCGCGCGCCGCCCTGCTCTAGCCGCGCGCAGCCCTGCTCTGACCGTGCGCCACCCTGCTCTGGCTGCGTGCCGCCCTTCCCTGACCGTGCAACGCCCCGACCTACCCTAGTGCCTCCTCGCCGTCCTTCCTTCCTTATGTGCTGCCCTGTTGGCCGCGCGACTTCTCTTCACGGTAGTGGTGGGAGTGGTGGCGGCGGTGGCGGCAGTAGTGGGAGTGGTGGCGGTCTCAGTAGCAGTCGCTTTGGAGCTATTCAGTGGGGAGTTTCTGGCGGTGGCCAGATGCAGCTGCACCGGCGTCCGAGCGAGACCCTTACACCCCATCAGCTTCGTGAGTGGTACGCTTGTAGGTGTAGTGGTGGCGGGAGTAGTGGCAGTCACGGTGCAGCTAGACAGTTGGGAGTTTCGGGCGGTGGCCAAGTGAAGCTGCAGCCGCGTCTGCACGAGACCCTTACGCCCCAGCAGCTTCGTGAGTGGTACGCTTAATATGGGGGGCCTAGGAGTAGTGCTCGCTGCCCGTACGTCATTCACATAGGTGATCACGCTGGTCAGTCATGCGGGACACCTGGCCACGCACAGTCCCACTCCTTTTCCTATCTGAGCGACACCTGGCGTGCAGAGTTTGGCGACGCGGCTGAGCTCCCCCGCTGGCTAGAGCTGCTTAGGCAGGGCGTGGATGTCTTTGCACTAGACTATGACGCTATCCTTACTGCCATGTATGCATTGACTATTAATACTCAGTGTGACTGTTACCTGTGTGTGCCGCCCGATCCTGGTATAGCGGCTACTGCCTTAGGTGCTGGTGAGTCTGCTCTACGTGCTGGTGAGTCTGCTTTAGGCGATGGTGAGTCTACTCTCTCAGGTACTGCGCCTGGTGAGGCCTTGCACACCTTCACGCTTGACTCAAGTGCTTCCCGCTGCTTCTTTCGCGACAGCACCACAGTCACACCACTCGCAGCAACGGTTGCTGTCTCTCTAGCTGACCCCTCTTGGGGACCGGTTTGTGCACGTTCCTCCACAGTTCTCCCATGTTTGGCGGTTCTGTCTAGCTCACTATCAGGTCTTCACCTCCACTTGTTCTCTACGAACTTGGTGAGGAACACCGTCCTTCACGATGCTTGGGTTGATACCTTTATCCCTGGAGGACAGCGTGTGGCGATCTGCATGTGTGCACGGACGGGCCGTCACCTGGCCACGTTCACCCATCGACCTCGGTCGAGCCTGTACACACTGACTACTGAGCCTCCTTAGATAGTTGCATCTGCGTCTGCGTCAGGTCAGCTAGCAGCCCCCTGTTCGTGTCGCCTCCTGTCGCACCAGACTCTCCTTTGGCACCACCGCCTAGGTCACCCCTTGCTGCCACGCCTCCGTGGCATGCACTCCTGCCTCCTTGTCTCTGGTCTTCCCAGGTCTCTGCCTCCCCTCCCACCCTCGCGTGCCCCTCTCAGCCTTCCCTGTGTCGAGGGGCGGCAGCCGCCGCTCCTCGCTCCTCCTCGTTTCCCCCGACGACTGCTCCCCTACAGACTCTCCACATGGACATGTGGGGCCCAGCCCGTGTCCAGGGATAGGGCTGCGAGCGATACTTTCTGCTGGTTGTTGACGACTACTCGTGTTACACCACGGTCTTCCCCTTGCACAGCAAGGGTGAGGTCCCTCATGTTTTGATCTCTTGGATCCGCGCTGTCCATCTCCAGCTCTGCGAGCGGTTCGATACGGACCATCCTGTCCTGCATCTGCACTCTGACAGAGGTGGTGAGTTTTCCTCCGACCCCTTGCGGGAATTTTGTCATGGGGAGGGCATCCTCCAGTCGTTCACACTTCCGGCCTCTCCTCAGCCAAATGAGATTGCTAAGCGCCTCATTGGCTTAGTCATGTAGGTGGCTCGTACCTCCATTATCCATGCGGCTGCTCCCCGTTTTCTGTGGCCGTTTGCGGCCGGTACGCTGCGCATCAGCTCAACCTCTGGCCCCGTCTCTCCTTGCCGGAGACCTCGCCCACACTGCGTTGGACGGGAGAGGTTGGCGATGCGTTGGTGTTCCAGGTCTGGGGCTGTTGTGCCTCTGCGGAGAAGCTCTCCTCACGTGCCATTCCCTGCGTCTTCCTTGGATTTCCCCATGAGGCGGCTGGCTGGCAGTTTACCACCCCACCTCGCGCCGTGTCCTACCCTCTCAGGACGTCACGTTCGACAAGCCGGTTCCCTTTAACTGTCTCTTCCCCTACCGCGTCCAGGGATAGGGCCGCGAGCGATTCTTTTTGCTGGTTGACCAGCGATACTTTTTTCTTGGTAGTAGTGGCGGCAGCAAGCAGCGATACCCACGGGATGGCCGACTTGTAGGTCGACGCGAGCCAACACGAGTCAATGCGAGTCAATGTGAGTAAATACGAGCGAACACGAGTCAACGTAAGTGAACCGCACCTTGAGGTTGTTGAGATCGTTTTCCAGAAAGTTGGTGATTCTGCCATGCAGCACGTGGTCCATCTGCACACAGGGGGTTGGGAGAATGGGGGGGATGGTGGGGATGGGGAAAAGGAGGGATGGGGCGCCTCACCAAACCAAGCTCGTAATTCGATCATGCAGCACGTGCTCCATGAGCCCACGTGCACGCCACACAGAAATACAGGGGGTAAGGAGTGGTATGTGATAGAAGAGGAACATCAACCTGTGGTACAAGAATGAGTTTGTGAGTGAAGAACGTGAGCCCTAAACCTCTCCAACTTCCCCCCCTTGGACACTAAACCCATGACATTTTGAGTCGACTCAAAATGAGTTGACTTTTGAGCTGACTTTTAAGTTGACTTTTGAGTTGACTTTTGAGTCTACTCAAAAGTCCCTTGGACACAAAACCCACGACATGTGAGTTCGTGCCTTGGACACAATTTCGCTTGCAATGGACGCGTAGTGCACTGCACTGTGGTATAAGAGGGGTGTGTGAGGTGCTTGCCTCGGTGAGGCCTTGAGGTTTTGAGCAAGGATAAAAAATACGGTTGTCATACTATACGGGCCGTTTTTTACAGTCGTATTTTATGGTCAATTTTAAAAAATTCTGCCGTTTTTTTGTTAGAGCTTTTTTCTCCGCAAAAAAAAAGTATCAAACTTCAAACTTGCTACCATCCACTTCTAGGAATGTGAACATCAAAGAAATTGCTAACTTTCAAGCCTAAAAAGCCGCCCCCCCCCCCCGAAACTCAGACCATTATAAGCGGTCCCTATCGGTTGCGGCGATTTTGCCAACCAATCTGCGCATACCGGCGATTTCGCCCGCCCATCTGTGCATATCGGCGATTTCGTCCGTCGATCTGCGCATATCGGCAATTTCGCCCGCCGATCTGCGCAGATCGGCGATTTCGCCCATAGCTCTGCACAGATCGGCGATTTCGGTGGTCAATTTGAAGTCGCCACGAACTGAGAACCCTAAGTCAGGCACCCCTTCCTCCCCATCAAAATTGTTGGAACTCACTGTCCCAACCAAATCGTCGCCACTTACCACTTGTCACCGCACTGGATCTACAAGACCGAACCCCCCATACACTTTCACAGATCTCGACATTGGCCTCAGCCCAATCCTAGACTATTACAGATGGCCACGGAACCTGTCTAAGCTTCTGTGGGGATGTTCCTGAGCCCCACGGAAACTCATAAATCTTGGTTTAAAAATTTCGGCCGTAAAAAACGACCGTATGCTTGAACGAACCTAAAAATGCAAGGCCTGACCGTATTTTACTGTTTAATACGACCGTAAAATACGATACCGTATTTTACGGTAAAATTTCAAAAATTCGGTCGTATTTTTGAACCTTGGTTTTGAGCATCTCCTTGAATATGGTGAGGTCTTGCTGCATCATCACCAACTGCCCCATCACAAGGCCTAAACGGGACTATGCATGCCATGCCGTGCATGTGGGACATCTATGGCATTCGCCCTGGGATTTGAGCATTTTCTTGAATACAATGAGGTCGCAGTGCAGTGTGATTGCATTGCCTCGACACAGGGCCTGTACAAGACTACGTGCACTACGCGCTGCACTCTGGTGTGGTGTGGGGCACACGTGGTGTTTGCCTGCTCGCGGTGCTTGCCTGGGATTTAAGAGTCTCCTTGAATATGATGAGGTCGTGCAGCGTCATCACCAACTGCCCCAACACCGGGCACAAACGTGAAACGAAGGTGTTGGGCAGAGGTGCATGGCAGAAAGCAAGGGGCGGGGGGATGGACGGGGTAGGGATGGGAGGAAAGGGGAGGGAAGGAGTGGGAAGGGGAGAAGCATGGGAGTGGATAAGGTGATAGTGAGATCCATACAGTATCATGACAGATAGACAGACCTGGCATAGGGCTTGGCAAAAGATAGGCGTTCAGATACGCGGAGGCATGAAGGGGAAAGGAGCAACATCTTGCATCAGCATAACCACGCCACGCTCGCCAGCGAATTACACCGGCACCCTGCGCAGCTCACCGCCCAGTGGTTGGGGTTGGGGTTCACCGCCAATCGCGATGGTGACTGTATCCTCCGGGGCACCAAAGAAGCGCTCCATGGTGTGCACGAAGGCACTCTCCGCCTCGAACGACTCGCCCAAGGAAGCCCTGTTGCGTGGGGGAGAAAGAAGTGAGGAAGCACGAGGTGAGTGTTAAATCCAGCAAACGGTGGGAGGAGGAAAAGCCACTGCATGGCGTGCACGAAGGCACTCTCCGCCTCAAATGACTCTTTCAGGGATGCCCTGTAGTGTGGTTGGGGGCGAGAGAGAGGATTGGATAGGAAGGGGTGCGTGAGGGGAGTCACACGTTGCGGGTCAAGAGAACCAACCATGCGTGGTGGGAGGAAGAGCCGCTCCATGCGTGCACGAATGCGGCTCTCCGCCTCAAACGACTCGCCCAGGGACGGTGGGGGCGAGATAGAGGGATGGAGGGTATGGGGAGCCATGAGGGGTGCATGGGGAGCGACGCATTGATGATAAGCATGCGGTGTGATCTGGGGCTCCTGTATGCACTGAACACACGCGGACGCTCTCTTGTGACCTACTTACAGACCTGGCTAGGAATGCACTGGCACGGATAGGGGGCTGGGAAGTAGCGGATATGTGACGCAACCAAATTGGGCACGAGTGGTGAAGGAATAGACAGGATGAAGCAGCAGGGCGAGGGAACTCACGCGAAGTTGTTGCAGGTGCGCGCGAGCTGGCAGCAGCAGTCCTTCAGCAGCTCAAGACTCTCCTTTAATGACGCTAGCTGCGGGGACATGTGTGCGGAGAATTATGCGCGGAGGGTTTATGCAAGCACGTAGGACTATAAGGGATGAGGGAGCGAAGGGATCAGATGTGCAGGTTCCGAAGGACTCGAAAAATGGGCAAAAGCATGCAAAATGGTTACAAGGAGACGATAGTGGACCAAAGGTCTACCACCCTACAGCGCTAGAGACAATGAGCCTTAGCGACAGAAAGAGAGAACAATCGCTTACACGCTTCAGAGTTCAACGATGCAATGCGACAACTTCTCGTCCAGCTCTTGCCCTAGATCCCATCTGATACTGTCAAACCAAGCCACGCAATATTCTCCGACTTGAAGGGGCCGTTTGTAATGGATACGCATGGAACAATCAGCGACGCACCATGCGTCTTTGTTTTTTTATGACGGATGGAGGTAGTTAAGCAAATTTAACATGTCTTCCTTCGATCTGGCACTAGCGACGACATTATGATGGCGGAAACGAGCAGAGCGAAGCGGTGTACCTGCTTGCGCATCATTGACGTATCGTCTAGCCGCGCGAACAACATCCTGGTACTCTGTTGTCAATCAAATTGGAAGTTTTGAGGTTGCAATTGCAAGAAAACCAGCAAGATAGAGCGATGACGGCTGAAGATGCTACTTTGCGACGATACGCGACACAGCACAAGGTCATAAAATCTCCTCCTTGATGGTCGCAAAGGCTAGGTCGAACACTGACTGCGGGTGCTAGGACTAATTAGAGGCTACTGCTGCAGCTAGCTAGCATCACCAACTGCTTCTTTGGAGACTAGGGAGTTTCGATTTGGTCTGACACGCCTAGCATTGGATGATGGCGTGGGAGAGATTAGAGTTTTGCCTCGCTGGCGAATCGCCAACCCACCAAGTCACAATTTTTTTTTTAGCAAAACGCGAAATGCTCGCGCTGCGTTAAAAATAGGAATTTTCTAGAGGTATTAGATGGCTAGCAACTATCAAGCATTCTCCCATGTGACAGAAGTAGGTATAGTGAGGAGCCATAGCTAGGGTTTACCTAGCTAGGCAAGAGAGAGTTAGGCAAAAGAGGGGATTGCACTAGCAAGAATGAGGATACAAATGGCAAACCCTAAAAGGGTTGTACTCGCTATAGAGCACCCCACTATAGGCTAGAGCATAATATTTTGACACACCCCCATAGCCAAAGTGGGGTGTAATCAGCAGTACAAGCTTAGGGTGGATCACAATGTCACCACACATTCTGAGCACAAGTTCAAGAAGCAATAGTTTAAAGTTCACAACTATGAGCAAAGCTAGAGGCTATCGTAGAGGGCTAGTGTGGAGGAGGAGGGACTATGAGAGGAGAGGAGGTAGTGGGCGGCAGCAGAAGCTGCTGGCACACGGCGCAATCGGAGCAACTGGCACACGGGCAATTGGAGCAACTGGCACACTGGCAACTGGAGCAACTGGCACACTGGCAACTGGAGCAACAGGCACACGGGCTACTGGAGTAACTGGCTCCGCGGCTAAAAGTAGCGGCAGACGAGCAACGGACTCACGGGCGACTGGAGCAACGGGCTCACGGGCGACTGGCGCAACGGGCTCACGGGCGACTAGCGCAACGGTCTCACGGGCGACTGTAGCTGGTGGCTTCTCGGCGGCCACCCCCTTCAACCTCCCCAAACTATCCCACCCCCATTTCACACACCCCCTACTGCACCCCTAGGGTCACTCACACCCCACCCCCTAGCACCACTCCGTCGACTCCCACACACCCACCCCCCTCAGCAGCAGCTGCAGCAGTGGGAGACGGAGGAGGAGGAGGAGCAGGTGACGGCTCACACACCCGCCACCCCCATACCCGTCACCCCCATACCCTGAGTGTGCGGTAAGCGACCGCAAGTGTGCGCGAATCGTGCACAAGTGTGCGGGAAGCAAACTCAGGTGTGCGGTAAGCAGACTCAGGTGTGTCGGGGAGGGGGGGGGGGCGGAGGGCGACGCGTGGGTCGACGGGGACGAGCGCACAGGTCCCCGGGGGCAGCGCGCGGGTCGACGGGGCCGCTGCGAAGGGCGACGGGGATCCGCGCGCAGGTTGACGGGGCCGCCGCGAAGGTCGACGGGGAGCCGCGGGCGGGTTGACGGGGCCGCCGCGAAGGGCGACGGGGAGCCGCGAGCGGGTTGACGGGGCCGCTGCGAAGGGCAACGGGGAGCCGCGCGAAGGTCGACGGGGACGGGTGCGCGGGTTGACGGAAACCGCCACGCGTCCCAAGCGCATGGCGGGCAGAAACCGCCACGCGCCCCGAGCGCGTGGCGGGAAGAAAAAATGTACATCGCACGCCACGGGGCGCGCGACAGACAGTAGGGCAGCGGAAGCTGGCGGGCCCACAGGCCAGGAGCAACACTGCTCTGATAGCATGTGAGAGAAGTAGGTATAGTGAGGAGCCATAGCTAGGGTTTACCTAGCTAGGCAAGAGAGAGTTAGGCAAAAGAGGGGATTGCACTAGCAAGAATGAGGATACAAATAGCAAACCCTAAAAGAGTTGTACTCGCTATAGAGCACCCCACTACAGGCTAGAGCATAATATTCTGACATCCCACGCGACTATCAAGTTTATACTCTAACTATCAAGGATTCTATGACTACGCCGCAACATAGGGCTTCCGCTGCTGCATTTCTATGCCACTGAAACTCTCTTTCGACAAATTTAGACCCTTGGATAGGGGCTGACTTTGGTCAGGCACCCAAGGACCCTTGGAGGTGACCCCGAGCAGAGTTGTTACAGCTATCGTGGTACTATCAGCACTAGGAACTAGGTGATCTACAAGTTCCATATATTTTGTCACTTTGACTGTTTTGTGCTGGTCAAGGTCAACCGAGCGCGAATGTCAGGGACCCGCATGTGGCGTCCTGACACGCGCGTGTGGCCCCTCAGGCCTCGTGCGTGTGCCTTGCACTGTTGCGAGCGTGGCAGGGCCCACGATCGCAACAAGACAGGGGACATTACAACCCTGTCCTCGCGCAGGACAGCGCACATCAGTGCGCTGTACAGCACGACCGAAAAGTCGGTCGTACATGATTGCACCCCTCAGGGGTGCGCGTGGGTTTCGGGGGTGCCGAGGAATCCCGAAGGGTGCTCGGGGTTGACTCGAGATTTCAGTTGAATAACTGAATCTCGAGCTTTGACTTTTCTGACGTGGCGAACAAGATACTTCTCTGGAAAGTTGGGCGCCTAGCGGGACAAATTTGTTTCAGGTACAAAACGGTAAATTCCGTTTTACAATGGGAAAACGGTTTCCCCACACGAGACTTCATGAGTGTTAACGGGAATTCATGAGTGCTTGCGAAGGAAATTAGCAGGGGCGTTTGGATGAAGTGTCACTTGAAATCAGTTTTTATTATATGAAGCGGATCAAGCCAAATATAGCTGAAGTTTGACAACTGTTTTACCAAGAAAACACGGCGAAGACCTTTATTTCAGTTTTATAACTGTTTAGTGTTTGCATTGCGTTTGCTTTGCTCATGCAATAGTAGTTCCATAAATGTGTGCTTGTGTTAAGTTGTAATCAACTTTTTGGAGTGAATATTTTCTTTATTGATGTATTGACATGAGGAGAAATTTCTGCATACGAGCCAATCAGTCGTAATCGCTTCCGCAATTGTGCTTGGGAGTGCTCCAGTGCACACGATTGTTTTCACGCTTGAAAAGTCCTTCAACAAACATGGACCCTTAGATAGGGGCTGGTTCTACCAGGCACCCAAGGACCCTTGGAGGTGACCCCATAAGGACTATCCAGCATTGATTAAAGGTGTGCTTAGAGCTTCTAGGTCCCAAATAGCAGTCAACATACCCTACCTTGCCTTCCCTTTTCATCATCTGTAATTTTGAATCTTGCTTATTCATGTTCATCATTTTTCTATTATCTCCTTTACTCTTTATATTTTTTCTGTTCTAAGGAACCTTGCTGATCAAGAAAACGAGTTCAATCGGGAGAATTTGTAGTTGTCACTAATAGGATTTACCATATTGCCATTTTTACTTTGTTTTCCATCTTTTATTTATTATCGTAGGTTATTGGCTGGGTTTTTTCTGTGCATGCGATTGATTGTTATAAATGCGTCAGTGATGGGTGCAAATCTTGATTTTGCACGTCAATCAGCCGCCTGCATGAAGTCCCGCATTTTGTGTGTGTTCTGTGCGCATTCGTTTTTGCATTCTGTTTCATGTGTTTTTGTTGTGGGCACATGACAAGTCATGACGGATCATGACGAGTCATGAATTCTCATGACGACTCATGTTCGTTCGCTGATTTTCACGAACTACTAAGAGCGTTCGTGATAACTACGAGTGTGATGAAAGCTCATGAAAGCTCACGAGTTTTCATGAGCACTTGTGGCGAGTGTCGATAATGTCGGGGGGTGCTGGGCTCGAGTCTTTGACTCGGCCCCTTTGACCAATTTTGTCAGAATCTAGCTCGTAGTGGGGTGCTCTATAGCAAGTACAACCCTGTTAGGGTTTGCTATATGTATCCCAACTGCTGCTAGTGAAACCCCTCCTTTGTTCATTTCTCTCTTGCCTAGCTAGCTAAACCCTAGCTATGGCTCCTCACTATGCTTACTATTATAACATGCTATCAGATCATCTACGCTTCTGGCCTGTGGGCCCACCTAACTGCTTCTACTGGTACTCTGTGTGTTGCACGCCCCATGGCGTGCGACAGATTGTT